CTCTCTCTCTCTCTCTCTCTCTCTCTCTGTGTGTGTGTGTGTGTGTGTGTGTGTGTGTATACTTGTGGGAACTCCTGTGTCATGGTGTATGTGGATGTAGAAGGAAACCTTGTAGGATTCAGTTCTCCCTTTCCACCAGATAAATCTCAGGGATCAAACTCAGTTTACCAGGGCTGACAGCAAATGCCTTCACCCACTGAGGCATCTTGCTGTGCCTCAAGTGTGTGTGTGTTGCAGAAGGAAATAAAAATAAGCCATCAACACCTAGAGCATCATAGACAAGAGAGCAATGAAGCCGTATGGGAGCTCACCCCTGAGGGGTAGGTCTGAATGAAAACTATAGGCCTATGCCTAGGGCATGTCTTCACTGGGGACTTGGTACATGGAAATGTGGGGGCCTTCAGGAGCCACTGGCAGCACAGGTGCCAGTAAAACAAGCAGTCTGTCCCTATGAGAAGGCACCTGCATTATTCCCACCTAATTGTGGTTTGCAGCAGGACGGGGCTGTCCACTTGAGAGACCTTTTGGACCCAGAGCTGAACCCTCAAAACTCACTTTCTCCTGCTCCAGGGAGGACATCCTCCTTGTTTCAGATGCTTGGCCCCAGTCTGGCTTTCAGGCTACAGGACTGGGAAGGGGATAAAGTTATTCTTCCCATCGCATTGACTGCTAGAAGAAATTTGATACCAAGTTATAAAAGTACACCCCTTTCCAGTGCTGGCAAATGATTCTCTCCTATCCTTTTGGCAGCAAAAATTCTGGCTGAGGCAGGTCTTTTCAATTCATAGCTGATTAAATTGCCTATTATCCACAATGTCTTGACAACAGCTTGAAAAAATGTGACTGTGCCAGCCCCCACTAGCCCCCTGGGCCCATGCCAACTGTCTGAATGCATTTTTACTTAATTGGCTGCAGTCAGAAAGGCAGGAGTCAGGTTCTGAGGGAGTAGCATCAGCTCCAGGTCCCAGCTTCAACTCAAAATGACCAGGAAGATGCTGGTGGGACTATGTCCTCCCTCAGTGCTCCAAGCTCCTGCAGGGAGTGACCCTGGGTCCACACAAAGTGAGACAACAGTCACCTCAGGAGAGTTCAGAAGTTGGGGGAAGAACTTGCTTAAATTCAGCTAAACTGATGGGTCACTGGGTTATAGCATCAACACCTGTGCCATTTTATTTTCAAAGAGAATTGGCTATATAGCCCTGGTTGGCCGAGAACTCACCATTTAAACTAGGCTAGCCTCAAATTTGGGGTCCCAGTTTCCTGAGTGCTGGGATTACAAGCATGCCTGGTTTCCAGCTTCTCTCCTCTCTCATTTCTATCTCTCTCTGAGAGAAGGTCTTATATAATCCAAGCCTAGCACATACCTACTTTCTCAGGATGTCCCTGAACTGATTCTTCTGTCTCTACCTCCTAAATGTTGAGTTGAGATTAACACCACCACACCAAGTTTTTAAAAATGATTCATTTTTGTTCCTCTCTCTGTCTCTGTCTCTGTCTCTGTCTCTGTCTCTCTCTCTCTCTCTCACACACACACACACACACACAAGAGTGTCCACAGAGGCAAGAAGAAGGTGTCAGATTATAAGTCGCCTGACATGGGTGCTGGGAATTATACTCCAGTGCCCTGGAAGAGCAGTATGTACTTTTAACTTTGAGCCCTCCCTCCAGCCCCTCTGCCCAGTTTGTATGCAGTGCTGGTGATTCACCACACCTGGGGTTTTCTTTGTGTGTGCTAACACATCCTCTACCAACTAAACCACAACTCCAACCCCCAGCTCTTCTTCTAATAGAATGCCAGATTGCACAGCCATGTCTTACTGCACTACCCTGGACTGCTGATTCCCTGAGGAGAATGTGTCCTTTTCACATAGTACAGAAGATTGAAGGGGCTCTGTGATGATAGCCATCTAATCTGACATCCATTTACACAGCAGACCTTTATGAAGACCTACTATGTGCTAGTTCTATGTGTGCAAAGATCCAAATATAGAACCAAGTAAGATCACCGGGCCCTGGCAGTGTGACTGGTGCAGGGCCTGACACTCATTTTGGGTGTTATCTACTTTCACTGTATACGAGTGTTCCACCTTGGTGTCTGAAGCAGCATCCAGAAGAGCTCTGCTATCAGTGTCCATGATTTCTCCCACATATGCATCAGAGAATCTGCAGAGTGGCTCAAGCAGACTGTGCTGCCTCCAGCTCCTTCTCTCTCAATTCTTTGCTTCCAAGCCTTTTAGCCAGGACCTCTGCAGACACAACAAATGTAAATCTTTGCGAGAAGGATTGTGTGTGTGTGTGTGTGTGTGTGTGACTCCTCAGGGCCATTGTATGTGATGTCAACAAGGTAATGGAACTGGATGGAGCTGAAATCACCAGGTCATGTGCCCTTGGGGTTATCATCACTCAGAATAAGGTTTTTCTACCTTGTCATGGTAGGCATGCAGCAGGATAACCTACCTGCATTTGTCATTTGTGCAAAGGCACCCTAGAGTTACTGGGAACCCACCTCTTTCTCTCTCTCTCTCTTGGGTTTTTGAGACAGGGTTTTTCTGTAGCTTTGGAGCCTGTCCTGGAACTAGCTCTTGTAGACCAGGCTGTTCTCGAACTCACAGAGTTCCACCTGCCTCTGCCTCCCGAGTGCTGGGATTAAAGATGTGTGCCAATACCTCCTGGCAGGATTCTGATACTTCTGTCCTATCTAAACCAACCCCACCTCCCACTGCAAAATCATCCAGAGCCTGTTGCAGGAGATTTCCCCATCCTAAATGCCAGAAAACCAGAGCTGACCTCAGAACTGGTCCTCTAACTCTCAGACTCTTTGATCCACTAGGAGAGGAGCACATTGTGCCTTTGTTGAGACAAAACCCTTCATTTTTGAGGTCATACCTGTGGGGCCAGGCAAACCAGAGGTTCCATGACAGATAGAAAGTAGGAAACATCTTACATTTGTGGCCATCAGGTGTTTTCTAAGAGAAACAAGGATCCACTGTGCATGGAAGGAGTGGGATCCTTTGCTCTCATCACCAACTGAGCCCATGTACCAGGGGACAAAAGTGCAGGAGGAACCAAGGTCTACTCCCAATCAACAGTTCAAGGAGACAAGGACATCCAGAGAAAGGCACTCCAAAGACTTATTGGGATCATAAGATGAATAGATTTAATCATTCTTGTTGGAAAAACAAGACATAAATTAGTGTAATATATAATTTATATATTTATGTAGTATATATACTATATACAGACATTTAGAAAATGTTCCCTCTCCATGAGGCTGAGGGAGAGGTGAATGACAGCGATGAAATGACAGAGGCAGGGTCTGAGTGGCGAAGGTGTAGGTAGGATCAAGAAGTTGGGAGAAGAGGAAGACCATGCCAGAACTCTGCTGGCAGTAGTCGGGCGGGAAAGGGGTCCCCACTGGCTGCATCTCTGGCCCATTAAACATCTTGATCCTGTGGGGGGAGAGACAGGGAAGGGAGGCTGGCTTCTGTAGAAGGGTGACCCTCCTCCTCGCGGGGAGACCTTGCCACTCAGGAGGCTTTATTGCGCGGGGATTACAAGGATAGGCAGGGGCTCGGCACAGTGTACATCTTATAAAACTCACATAAGAACAAGAGATTTCACATGGGCCTCTCACACAGTGATGAAAGAGAGACCGACACTGGGTGGGAGGGTGTGGGAAACAAGCCGTGATGGAGAAGTGGACAAGAAGCAATCTATACAGAAGAAACATTGGCTTTCTTTGCCTCCTACAGTAAGATAACTGTAGGGACTCCGTGTCTTCACTCCCAGAAGGGCTGGGGCAGGGTGGGGGGCGGGGGTGATGGCGGCAGCGGCAGCAGCAGTGGCAGCGGTGACGGTGTTGGTGTTGGTGGTAGTGGAAGCAGCGGCAATAGATGAGTGTCAAGGAGATACTAAACTGTGAATTCCCTTCCAGATGGTTCCAGAGAGGGAGAGGTGCAGGTCTGCACCGGGTAAGGCGCTCAGCTTCTTTTCTTAGAGACACAAATCCACAGGGTCAATACACAGCCAAAAGCATATACTCAGGATTAACATATCACGCTAGCTTCCAGAAGTTTAAGATATAGTCATCAACACCCCCACCCCTCCCCCCTCCCCCCACCCCCCCCATCCCAATCCGTAGCTACGTCATACTCCTAACTCTATCTGGTAGAGATGTTGAAAGAGGAGCCACACACCTCAGGCAACAGCTCCTGCACAGGGCTGGGCTGAGCCGGGCAGGCTCGGACACCTGCGCTGGGGTTCCCCAGAGCAGACATTTTCACCAGGTACCTTACCCAAAACAAGTGAGGTGATCTCAGAGGCTTGCTCCCTAATGAACTGAGCTGTCCTGCCCATCAGTGAGGGGCAGGGCACTTTGGGGTTGGCTGGTATAGAGCTATTGAACCTGGGGGCAAGGGCTCCCAAGGCTGCCAGCCTGTTGAGCCAGCCACTGACAACCCGTCGTGGCTGTATTCTGCACATCTCCTACCTGGGCACTGGCCCTTGAAGTGGCTCCTGCCAGATGCAAGGGAGCCCATGGTGGGTGGGAGCATCTGGAATGAGCGCCCTCTCTCCTTGGCTTGGCGCTGTGGCCTACTGCTATTGTCACTGCCCTCTGTGAGGCAGCAGATGCTAGGAGGAGCTCCAGGTTCTGGCTCCCCTGGTGCCCAACTCAGAGCAGGAGGCGAACCTGATGTCACCTACCAGCCCCAGAGAAGAGATAAAATACAACTCTGTGGTGGGCATAATGGCGAGGGGCCTTTGCCCTCACAGTGACGCCCAGAGGCCAAGAAGGGGTGAGGGCACCCAGGGCAGCAGCTAAGCCTGCAGCCCTTAATAAAGAGCCTTGGTCTAGGGAGTTCTCACTCCTCCGAGACTGTTAGGCTCTTGGACCCTGACTGGCCCAACACACACACACACACACTCACCACAAGATGCAAAGACCACAAAGCTCAAACCTGGGACCAATGGGTGGGAGGGGACAAGCCTAGGCAAGTGCCCTACTTAATAAGGGTTTTTAAGGAGTGTGTGAATGTGCTCATAACAGTCGATGATGGGGAGCCTGGTGGGTGCCCGGTGGCTGCTGGCAGCGACAGTGGTGGCAGCGATGGCTGCTGCTGCTGCTGTTGTTGCTGTTGCTGTTGCTGTTGCTGCTGCTGCTGCTGGTTAAGGTTCCTGGCTGTGGACTCCTCAGCTGCACGCAGCAGGAAGGTGTAATTCCTCACGACTTCTTCTACTTTGGCCAGCAGCTCCTGGCGCTGGGCCTCTGAGCGCACGATGAACACCAGCCGCACAAAGGTCTCAATGAGGCTGCTCAGCACCTGGAAGCTGCCTGTGATGGCCGCCAGCATGTGAGTGGGGCTCTTGTCCACATTGGCTACTCGGCGGCAGGAGGCCCGGAGCTCCTTGAACTTGAGAGCTAGCTCAAGCTTGTACTCAGAAATCTGCGAGACATAGGGCTTGGGGGCACGTGCCTCGGGGCTGGCCACACACTGCCGCAAGACTGTCAGCAGCTCATTGGTGTCCAGGCGGGCTGCCAGGAAGCCATCAGGGAGGCCATAGGCGTGAGCCCGTAACGCATTGATTTTAGCCAGGCTCCCTTCAAAGGTGGAAACCCGAAGGTCGATTTCCTGGGTGTGGGAGGCCTCGGGGCTGCTGCTGCAGGTGGCGGCATCCAGGACCTGCAGGGTTCTGCTCACCACGGGCACCACCTGCTCGTCCAACTTCATGCCAGGCAGAATCTTCATGGGAATGGAATAGGAGAGCTCGTCCTTGCCGTCGCTGGCATCATCTGCCATGTCACACTTGCGGTAATAGAAGCAGTAGCGGATAGAACAGCACTTGCTGGTTTCACTGTCCTCATCTAGATCGGCTGGCCTGCGGTATACCTCCTCTGGCAGTGAAAACACAGCCATCTGCCTGGGGCCTTTGCTCTCAGGGGCCACTTGGACGTAGGAGGGCTCTCCAAGAGTTGGTGACTCTGCACGCTTGCCTTTTGGACCCAAGACTAGCGGGAGGCCGGTATCTATCTCCTTGACCTCTCTAGGCAGCATTCCCAAGGGGGGATGCGGGTAGACATCTGAGGTCAGGGAGGCCCTGTCACCCTGGTCCAGCTCACTGTTACTGTAGCGGTGCATCAGTTTCCTGTAGTTGGGGTCTCCCAAACACTCACCCCCCGAGGCACAGGTGCTCAGGCAAGAAACACCACTCTCAGGGTCTGACCGGCACTCACGGGACTCCAGACTGGTAGAACGGATGCGCTGGGCATTGATGGGACTACCAAGTATCAAGCCTGGGCCAGCTTCTGGCTGCCTCTGGGTAGGCAGGACCCTCTCCCTCTCCCGAAGGCCAGCAGGCACTGGGGTCTGGGCAGCTTGAGGCCGTCCTCCTCGGCAGATGCGCTTGCAGTCACAGCTGCGTCTCTGTTCACGAGACATGCCAGGTCCCTGCTGCACAGGGCTACTACGCAGCTGGCAGCTGCAGCGGCCAGGTGCTGGGGGTTGCAGGTACTCTGTGCCTGAAATATCCCCCTGGCTTGGTGGCTTTAGAAGTTCCTCAAGGAACTCCAATTCATACTGCTTTACCTTCTGCAGCTGGGCCTGTCGCTCATCTGTTTCTTTCTTCTGGCGGGTAGGAAAGGTGGCAGAGAATAAGTTGCGCAGTCGGAAAGGACCTCGGGATGACTTGGGCTTTGTGGGGCCTTCAGAGGCCGCCTGGGCTCCATCCAGGGTCGTTTCAAGCTTCCTAGAGGGCATGGTGCTGACCTGACGGCTGGTGGCCAGAGGCCTCGGTGGGCTCTGGCCTCTAGGATGGTAGCTGGGGCTGGGGCCACGGGCCAGGCTGCTGGGGCTGGGGCCACGGGCCAGGCTGCTGGGGCTGTGGCTTCGAGCCTGGCAGCTAGGGCTGTAGCTTCGAGCCTGGCAGCTAGGGCTCTGCAGAGCCATGGGATAGCCAGCCCGGGGAACTAGGCTGGTCTCCTCAAACTTGCTGCTTTTGGATATGCTCTCCAGGTGCCCTTTCTCCCCATGGCCAGAGACTGTGCTCTGCTTGTTAGGGGGAGGCTTAGCACCCTCTGGCCCAAGCTTGCCTGCCACCTCCCCGGTAGCTTGCTTGCCCGCCGAGTCTCGACTTGCTCTGGATAGATAGCTCTTAGGAGGGAAACTTTGAACCGGAAACCTGTCTTCTTGTGGGGAAAGGTGGAGGTTGTCAGGCCGGCTGCTTGTGGATGCTCTGGGGCTGGCAGAGACCTCTGCGCCCAGCTGCTGCTGAGAATTCCGTGTGGTCTCCAGGGCACCAGGGCTCATTTTAAACTTCAGATTCTTGTTGGCATTGCTGTTCATCAGGTTAACTTCCGGCCTGCCCATGGTGACCTCAGGCCTCCCCATGCCAGCCTCTAGCCTTCTCTCCCCCCTGTTGGAGGGTGTTGCCAAGGCTGTGCCAGGAGTGGCTAGACCCTTACTGTGTACTACCTGCTGTAGGGCAGCCGAGATGATGGCTGGGGTCACATTGCCTTTTGGGTCCAGAATAAGCTTAGGGCTCAACCTGACTTCCTTGGGCAAGTTTTCCCTTAGCTCTGAGACCTGCTCTTCACCGAGGGATGGTGTGGCTGCCCTCAGTGACATCTCTAGGCCTGCCCTAGTGTGGCCTGGCCCTTTGTCCTCAGGAACTGGGGGAAGCAGGCTCAGATTCTTCTGCTCACTAAGTTGTGGGGACAGGGCTGGGTGCACGGCCAGGGAGTATGTTCTCTCTCCCTGCACCTGGGCTTCTGACTGAGGCAGCTTTCTCCGGGCACCAGGGGGGCCAGGACTCTGGCCAGTGACAGCTGGCTGGAGGGATGGGTTGGGATCTGGGGGCCCAAGGGCATAAGGGGCGGTGAGCACAGCCTGAGCTGAGCAGCTCTGGATTCTGAAGGGCAGGTCCTTTCGGGCAAGGAGGCTGTCCTTGTTGAGGTGCTGGGCCAGGAAGTAGGTGGCATTCTGGTGCTGCTTCATGGCCGACATCATCTCTGACATATCTGTGAGCTCTGAAGAGTTGGTTTCATGGCCCGAGTCCAGCGATGATTCAGGAGTGATTGTGGCCAGCACAATCAGACCTGGAGGAACAAGAATGGGACTTGTCATGTTTACTAGTATCGAGGTCTTTTCCAACCATATCTCCAGTTTTCCTGGAGAAGTGGTTGGTAGCAGCAGTATTTCACGCTGGGGAAAACCCAGTCAAGCCAGGGAAAACTGTAGGGCTGAGGGGGAGGAGCCAAGAAGAGTGCGCACAAAGCGGAACAAGATGTGAGAAGGGGGTGTGAAAGGTTGGAATCCAAAAAAGAGGAATACCAAAAAAGAAGATCTTGGCAGTTTGGTGGTAAATTAACGTGTAAAACAACATGCCAATCAATGCTGTTTTTAGATTCAACAGCTAGGAAATTTCTGTTAATTGTCCTGAAGAGAGTTGGCAAAGAGAGGTGCTGTTCGGCTCCTCCTCATCTGGCCAGGCCTGTCTACAGTTCTTGCAGCTGAGGCCGTTTAGCCGAGCTTCTCTCTAGCAGTCATGTGGGCCTTGGACCTGGAAACCAGTTTTGGAGCACCTGATGATGTGTGAAGACCAATGCCAGCCTGGGTTGGGGACAAACATTCAGGGGGCTATCCAAAGATAAGGTTTTTAAAAAGGTATGTGTGTGTGTGTGTGTGTGTGTGTGTGTACATATGCGTGCCTTTCAGGAGATGGATTTGCAGACATCTATAATGGAGAATAACAAGCATGCAGCATAGTTCTTCTACAAATTAATAGTTAACAGATAGCTACTGATTACTGATCCCTCACTGGGTGTGCGGTAGTGCAACTAAGTGTTCTGTCTGAGTGATGTCATTTAATCTTCATGCTGTGTGATGCAATTGCCATGGTGACACACCGAAGAGAGTAAGTGCCTTGCCACGAGTCACACTGCCTGTGAGTAAAGAAACTAGGACTCTGTTGCATGTGCCTCAGAGTTCATGTTCTCAGACAGGCTAAAGACCCCAGCCCTGCGTAGAGATGGCTCTTGGCAGTCCTGATCACAGGTCATTTTGGAAATGAATTGGTCTTTTGGAGCATGCTGCTGTTCCTTGTTTTTTGGGGGTCTCTTCTATCTTCCTGTTCCTCAGTCCTGGCCTTGATCTATAGCTGTTGTGGGTTCCATGTGCAATAACTGTCTAGAGATATGCGATCATGAGGGACAGAGCTCTAACTAGAACTGCATCTCTTCTCTGCAGCTTCCTTGTTCTTAGACCTAAGCTATCGCTGCCAATTCATTGCCTTTGATATGCCATCATCACTCAAACAACTGTTTGAAAAGAAGCAGTGCTGCCTACTGGACATTCCTGGACCAGAAGAAAGAAGAGTCAAGAAGAAGGAAGACTGGGCTATTACCTGCAGTCTGCTGGGGTGGAGGATGGGGTCCATCCTCTGAAGCAGCCAGGGCTTCTAGAGCCTGCAGAGTAGACACCAGAGCATCATCCAGCTCCTGGGCATGATCTCGTACTGTCCGGGTCTGTACACTGTCAATCAGTGTCACTGGAATCTCATCATACAGGAGCCCACGCAGGTGACGTCCTTGCTCCTGACTTTGAACAGCTCTGCGCTTGGGATCATCCTCATCAGAGCTGTTGTCTCGGAAACCAGGGGGTGGAGCTGCAATGGCAGGCAACAGAGAAGTTGTCTCATCTTCCTCTTCTTCCTCTTCCTCACTTCCTGGTGGTGGGAGGGACATTAAGTCTACCATATTGTCCCGAGAGGAGCCAGGCCTCCCACCTTTTCGCGGCCCCTGCTGCTCCTGGAGTTTGACTTTGCAAGAGTCACAGTAGAAATTCAGGGCTTCAGCCCCAAGGGAATTGTCCAAAGTATAGGACCGGGCCCTGCTGGCACAAGGCTCATGGTCTAGGCTGGCTGCATCGAAGTCATCAGGAATCATCTCATAACCTTGGCCAGAGCTTTTGGATGTGGGGTCCGATTTGGTCCGGGGTCTGGTTTCTTCAAAGAAGATTAGGTTCTCGTTGACATCTGTCCTGCTTTCTTGCTCCTTCCTTTGTTCCCGCATGTGGAGGTAGCAGAAGCTGACAAGCTCAGGGTCGGCAGGCGGGGTCGCGCATCGGCTCGACTTCCTAGGGCTGGTGCCCACGCTGCCCACATAACTACTCTCCTTTTTCCCCAGGTGGCCCCCAGTGACAGGGCGGTGGGCGCTGTGCATGGGATCTAAAACAAAAAAAAAATGCATGGTTGAGCCTGCTGCTGAGGATGGTAGCTGCGGCCCTTCTGCAAAGAGAGAGAGAGAGAGAGAGAGAGAGAGAGAGAGAGAGAGAGAGAGAGAGCGAGCGCGAGAGCCTACTGCTAGAAATCTAGAGAAGATTAGGGAGAGGGGATCAGACGGACCATGTCACTGCTGATACTGAAAGCAGAGTGAATAAAATGTGATGGCCAGGGATGCAAAAGTCTCATGCTTTGAGGTCAGATACCACAGGATTCTTCCGTGGATCTGGCTGTTTGAGAGTCTGCTGGAAACATACCTAAAAAGATGAGATTTGCTTTATGTTTATGTTAAGATCTGTTCCTGTTTCTGTCACTGCCCCCATCCCTTTGTGAAGCCACACCTACTGCCAATACTCTGTAGCTCTCCTGTTATCTTGAATCTCTTCTAGTCCAAGAAATTGATAATGAGAAGTTACTGTGTTTGCTGAGAAGGTGTTAAACCGGCTAGCACAAGCTGAGCATGGTAGCTCACACTTAGAAGACTGATGGAGAAGGACTGCCAAGTGTTTGAGGTAACCCTAGGCTACACTGTAAGCTGCAGCCTGGGCTATGATATGAGACTGCGTCTCAAAAACCAAGGAGACAAACAAGCAAAAAAAAAAACAAAATTAAGCTGGGTGGTGGCGCACGCCTTTAATCCCAGCACTCGGGAGGCAAAAGCAGGCGGATCTCTCTGAGTTCGAGGCCAGCCTGGTCTACAAGAGCTAGTTCCAGGACAGGCTCCAAAGCTACAGAGCAACCTTGTCTTGAAAAACCAAAAAACAACCTTGTTTTAAAAAAACAAAAAAAAAAAAAAAAAAAAAAAATCAAAACTAAACAGATAAACCTCCAACCTGGCTAGTACAAGTCCCGAGAACTTGCATTTCAAAAATGCCTATGCCAGGAGTCCATCAGAATTTTTAGTGTGTAAGAGAGGTATGGTGGGGTGTTGTATGTGGAATGAGCATGGGACACCATTCCTATAATCTTTAAAGCTTACTACTGTTCTGTATTCATGCTCTTGATAGCAGGTATGTGCATCCGAGCCCTATCCGCAGCAAATTCTATCTCTGAGTATGTTCTCTATCACACTGTTTTGGGAACTCATCTCACATCATCTAGGAGGCTACCCTTAGACGATGCGAGCCTGCTCTGCTAGCCGCAGACAGGTGAAAAGCCATCACAAAGCTGGCCGTGATAGCACAAACCTGTAATCCCAGATCTTGGGAAGTATAGGTAAAATGATCAGGAGTCACTCAAGGTAGTCCTCAGCTACACAGTGAGTTTGAAACCAGTTTGGGATTCAGATGACCTTGTTTCAAACAAACAAACAAACAAAACAAACTAACTAATCAAGACACGATAAATTACATGTAATCCCATTTTTTATTCCCAGGCAGGTATCAATATCCCCATTTAACAAAGGAAGGGAGAGACTTAAGGTCACACGGGTTTTAAGCGGCAACCTAAGATTGAGTCCAGGTGGGAGAGACTTCAGAATTTGTATAGCTAATCATCATGGTGGCCTTGGTATTGGAAAACCAAATAGTAAATGCTTTTCAAGCTCCAGATCAAGGCCAGATCAATGTGTCAGTGTTACCTTTCACTAACACGTATAGCTAGGACAGAAACCTAGTACAGGCACCCAGCAATTGAGTCCCTAATACATGATGGTAAAACTGGTCTGAATTGAAAGAAGTACCTGCAATTCAAGTAGATAGAGTCTTAAGAATACTGTGTTTCTGAAACTGGCCTTGAACTCCTGCCCTTTTGTTTTCACCTTCCAGCACTGGAGAGACTGAGGCAGAAAGATCACCATGAACCAATCAGAGGCCAGCCTAAGCTATATAGTGAGTCCTGGGCCAGTATTGACTATAGCCAGGCACTGTCTTCAAAATAAAACAAGGAGAAAAGTAAAAGGAGGCCAAAATACCCCTCAGCTATTCTGAGGCTAGTATTATCTTAATACAAAAACCAAAGAAAGACATCACAATTAAACTATAGACCACTGTATCTTACAAGCAAAATGTCTACAAATATAGACACAAAATCCATCAACAAAATACCAGCAAATGGAACCCAGAAACACATAAAAAGAATTACTTAGCAGTAATTGCATACTAGTGGGTATTTACTGCATCAATGCAAAGTCGTTTTGACATGAAAAAATCAATTATTTTAAAAATTTATTTTATGTGTATGGGTATTTTGCCTGCATAATGTCTATATATCACTTGAGTGCCTGGTGCCTACGGAAGCCAGAAAAGAATATTAGACCCCCTGGGACTAGAGTTACAGAGGGTTGTGAGATGTCAGATAGCTGCTGGGAATCAAACTTGCGTTCTCTAGCAGGGTAGCCAGTGGTGCTCTTAACCACTGGCCAATCTCTTGAGCCCTGAAAAATCAATTATTAATTCATGCAATATAGCATGATAATAAAGAATAAAATAGACATGCTCATTTTGAAAGGTATAAAAACATTTGAAAAAAACCAGAGCCTTAGGGATAAAGCTCAACAAACTAGACTCCAAGGGAATTTCTTCAACATAGTAAATGTTATTTGTTAAAAAAGCCCTTGATGGGCTGTGGTGGTCTTTAATCCCAGCACTTGGGAGGCAGAGGCAGGTGGATCTCTGTGAGTTCAAGACCAGTCTGGTCTACAGAGTGAGTTCTAGGACAGCCAGGGTTACATAGACAAACCCTGTCTCAAAAAAAAAAAAAAAAAAA